GAGTCGAATCTTAAACTACAAATAAGTCCATTTCTCTTCGGCAAAGTGGCAGAAGTGTTTTTTTTTTTGCCCATGTCTGTTTGTGTTCCTGTTTGCCAGCAAAAGGTTTCATGAAAAAATAAATGGATTTTGATAAAACTTTTAGAAAGGAATTACTGAATGCATGTCTACAACCAAAAAAAAAGGAAAAAAAAGAAATCTCGGAGCTCGACCCATAATGCAATATTTTCACTTAAAGGGGCAGTATCATGTAAAATCAACTTTTTTGAGTTTTATATCATGTTATAATGTTATTCTCTCATCAAAAACATTTCCAGAGTCTTTGACTCATTCATGCATGTTTGAGAAATCCTGTAGTGTCCTGAGGCAGCCAGGCAGGGGAGCAGAAACCACCGGTTGGGACTAGAACCTCCTTTTGGGATCAGCTCCTCCTCTGGGCTGTGTCTCTAAGCTGAGCTTCCTCATCGCAGAGAACACACACCCACCCCCTTCTTCCTGCCCCGCCCGTGACTCCTGCAGGCTCTCCAAATCAAACTGGTGAAACTGAAAGTGAAACTTAAACTGTCTGCTGAGCTCCCAATACCACTTCTCAGTGCAGCCCTTTTCAGATTCAAAAAACCTTTTGAGGAAATGTATTTTCAGATGCCAAGTAAACTGCGCCGAGCCGCATCACAGCCAAACAGACTTTCCGGTCCGACAGTAAGGTTCATATGTGTCCAGAGAGGCAATTTTCCAGATATTGTTTAATGTTGCTGCTTTTTTGTTATCGTTACAACAAAGTCTGCCAGGACGCTCCAGCTTATAAACAGCCAGCAGAGCCCTGTAGAGAGAAGCGGCTGTGATGACGTGCTGAAATGGGCGGGACAGAAGCGAAAGGAGGTTCTTAAAGAGACAGAGGCCAATTTCAAGGTGCTTAGAAGAGGAAATGATGAGAAGAAGAGTTTATTTAGGTATAAGACTATGGAATAATCTGGAAAATGATTATAAAAGCATTGGATCAATTAATTCCTTTAAAAAATGATCAAAGCAAAATTGTTAAAGAAATATGAAATTGTTCAATTTGTTTTTGTATGAGTTACTGTTTGAGGAGTTAATTTTTTTATTTTGTTTTATTATTTGGTTTATTATTGTTGGAAATTAATATTTTTTGTAAATAGGAGCAGATATACTTTTTCTGCTGCCTTTTATTTAGTTTTATTTGAATTGTTTTGTTGTGTGTAATGTTTTTTATGAAATTAATAAACACTATAAATATTTCCTATTTAAACATAAAAACATCATTTTAATAACAACTAAAGGTGACATAGATACTATATTATGGTATAGAGATTAAATATATGCCTGAGAAACACATAAAATTGCCCCTTTAAAACATGAGCGTTAACTGAGCGTCAACTCTGTCTATTAGCAAAATATCTCAGGAAGCGCTAAACAAGTTTTATTGAAGATTCCAGGAAATACTCAGTTGAATTCAAGATGGCTGCCTAACTAAACTGGCAAAACACAAAAATGTTTATAATATGCTCAAATTTAGCTTGTTAGAAGGGAGTTATTCACATTACATTTTTAAAATGCTACTCATTATCTTTATCAACCAAATACAAGTTCATTCTTCCTCAGCATCTTATTTTAAGACTGGTATGAAAGACCTGTGYGATATGCATTACTGTATGGAACGCTAAGCCTTTAATTTTATTTCTGCTTCTTTTAATTTTCATTTATTCTAAATATATCGTTCKCCTATGTGTCTGCTTTGTTTGGCAGCTGCAGTAGAAGGATGGAGCTCTGTCACCACCCAGTGCTGCGCAGCAGACCTGCAGCCTTCTGCAACCTGCAGGTGATTCAGCAACTATAYCCATCTGTTTACCTACAGAGCTGTGGTTTAATAATAACTGTTGGGTTTCCATGGAGACTGAGAGATAACTGAATGCATTAARCACAATGTATATACATATTTTGCTTTATTTTCTACACCATGCTTTGCGTTGATGCAGGTTTCACTGTGACTGACATGTGAGGAGACATGCTCCTCCGCTGGCAGGAGGCTGATTTAGTRGCATTAAATGTAATGACTGAGGTGGTTCGGAGCTGCATGCAGACAGATAAATGTCTGTGTGTCTGATAAGTATTCATGGGAGGACACCAAGAYGCCTGCAGGCAATCAGAGCACAGAGATAGAGTTTGGGAGGGTGTCATTGATTAGCAGGTCACAATGAGGGAGGCAGACTGTTGAAGACTTTGGCGAGTGCCTCTACTCACCAGCTCAATAAGTGTTTTCTTTTTGTTGTCTCCTCCGTCACTTGATTTTCTTGACTTGCAATCAACTTTCCTTTGTCCTCTGTGTGTTTTGTCTTTACAGACACGCATTCATCGCCAGCGGAAGCTCTTTCTGCAGAGGAATGTGTGAAGCATCATTATGGTTCCAACAGGAGAGCCAGAAAAGGTGCTGCCGTCTGACTGTGAGCACAAAAACCATCAAGGGTCGAGCAGAGCATTCCTTGAAGGAATTCATCATGACAGAGGTTTTACTCAGTGTCCATTTCTGTCTCGGAAAAGGAAGCTGTGGCAGCCATCTTGAATTGAGTTGACTCCAAACGACAGTCAGTTGTGTGTCACTGTTTCCAATAATTAATAATGAGGTAATTTGCTAACAGACAGCATATGCTGATGTTTTTAAAGTGCCTGTGGCATCAATTTTTTGCATTAAATATGAGTGAATTTTTGGAAGGATAACACTGATGACATATCAAAACAAAAAAATCAAGTTGCTGTGATGAACAGTTGTGGAGATATTTGCATGTAAAGAAACAGGAAGTGATGTCAAAGGGGAATGTCTGAATGCYACAACAGCTAACAGAAACTGCAAGAATCTGACGTTTCTTTAGATTATTTTAGTTACTATCAGAGAGATGAAGAGTCAGAGTTCCAATAATTATTGTTTCAATAAACAAAGACGATTAAGTTCCTTTTCTTAAAAAGTTCCCCTTTGATGTCACTTCCTGTTTCACTTTAACTGAGCCAAGTTCAACAGAAAATATGACAGTTATGTGACAAAATGGGTRAAATCATGTGTGTTATGTCAAATMTTTTAYAGATGTTTACTTTTTGTATTTGAAGGCATGTCACAGGCACTTTAAGCACAGATGTACACTGGATGGTGCTCAGATTCTRTGTTGATGAGGACTCTCAGCTACTGCCACACATTTTAGCTTAATATCTGTAAAACTGGCTGAGCTGTAGCCACTTGTGCGTTCTGTAAAATCTGTTGATGTATGCTAACAGTAGACAAATAAAAACACAAAGGCACGGGCAAAGGCGTTTTTGCTCCACATTCGCTTTTGGGGGCGAGCAATGAAACCAGAGTTTCCCAGTTTTGGCACGTCCCTCCGTCACATTGGTATTCAGCAGCATCGAGCCTCATTTGAAGTGATGTAGTTTAATTTGTGATGAAGATCAAAGTGTGCTTTTGCCTCTGGTTAGGGTGCAGCATCAGCCAACAAGAAGGATTAACTCTGCTGCTCAAGGACACTTCAAGAGAAGGCCAGAGCCGCTGTTAAAATCACGATGAGAAATCTCTGCAGTCTGATTTACCCTGCAACGATGAAGAGTAACAACTTAATGGAAAATTATGTGGCGGGCGATGTGCATTTATTTAAAAACCACTTTTATTTGCTCCTTGATTTGGCATATCATAATATTTACTGTCCTTATCTACAGTGCTGGACATGAATATTGGTTTGTTTATACATGATTACACAAATCCATATAAAAATGTTTATTTCATGCATTTTTTATTTACTTTTGTAGTTTTTTTCTTTTTGTTTCTTTAATCTCTTATAGAGTTGCACCCCCTGCTGTCGTTTATGAATAATAAGTTTATTTTAACTTTCCTTTTTTTTT